TCCTTCACCTTTTTGTTCTATTCTGGGCCCTTAGTGGATCAGATGATGCCTACCCACATTGGGGAGGACCACGTGCTTTACCCAATCTTTAATTCAAATGCTAATCTCTTTCAGAAACATCCTTACAGACATACTTAGACATGATATTTAATCAGATGGCTGGACATCCCATGTCCCAGTCAAGCTGATGCATAAAATTACCTACCACATCCCTCTCTTTTTTTTAATTTCAGAATATTACAGGGGTGCAAACATTTTGATTTCATGATTTGCTTTTGTGCAGTTTGAGTCAAAGTTATAAGTGTGCCTATCATCAAGGTAGTGTGCATTGTACCCTTTAGGAGTATCCATCCCCTCATACCCCCCCTCCTACTTGGTTTCCATTGAGTTTTACTACCATATGTGCACATAGGTGTTGATTGATCAGTTCCAATTTAATAGTGGGTACATATAGTGTTTGTTTTTCTATTCTTGTGCTTATCACATCCCTCTCACTGAAAATCTTTCATAGAAAAGAAACTGCACAAAACCTGGATGTCACCAGAGATACATTATCAAGCACAGTCTACAGAAAGAGAAAGGTAAAATGAGAAAGAGAAAATAATGTAAATAGTACAGAAGAAGAAGGGTAAGAAGGAGTAGAGAGAGACAAGGAATGAAATGGAAGTGACAGTTCCAACTTGTTGGTTTCCTAGCTGACATCCATTACACTCTCTTCACTTTTAACAAAATTCTAAATTTGTACATAAATGAATACCATAGGAAACTGGGGACAAATCCTGATTATTCTAAACCAATTATTATAACCCCAGCCCTTGCTAATTAATTGTTTAGGCAGCTGCATTTGACGTCATTCTTGCCAGTAAAATGTGAGAAGAATCATGCTGTGGATGAATCTTGCAAAGGTTTCATCACACTTAAACAAAAAAAAAAAGTGAAACACAAAGAAATGTTTAGTGTCTTTACTTATGTTGTTATATTCAGACAAAATGACTAAACTGAGATAGTCATCTATTTTTTGACCATTAAGGTATCCAGTTTGAAGATAGCAGAGTGAAAGATGAAAAGGAAATAGGTTTTTGAATCTGTCACTAAACAACCAAAATAAAAAGCCTTGGAAGTTTTATATCTCATAACGTCTGATTACTTGAGATAAACATCATTATTTGAAGTAGCTGTGTCAAGGTTCCTATTACATATTATTGTCAGTATTTTTACTGAAACAAAAAATTTTTAAACAAGGTAAGGTTACATCTTTGCTTTAATGCAGTTAAACTGTCTGAACTATTTAAAATTCATCAGTTGGGAAAAGCAAGAAGACCAGCTTAAAAACATACTCATTTATTGAACTATAATCATTGAGGGTGGGGATGGAAAAAAGGAAATGATTGCAGTGATACTGGAAAAGTAAAATCCACAAGACGTTGGTAACTGATTAAACATAGGAAAGCAAGAAAGAGAGAAGAGACGAGGATAATAGAATTTCAGACAGTAGGGTACTCAAATAAGGAAGTCAAAAGAAAAACTCATCTGCAGGATCCAAATGAAATTTTTTTCAGATACAGAGTAGAGATACTGGCACAACATTTGAGTGGAGAAATCCATCAGGCAGCTGAAAATCTTACAATGGAGCTCCCAAGAAAGACTAGGACAGATGTTGATGCTCACACGGTAGTAGTAGTGGAAGACAGGGAGTGGAGTGTGGCTAAACTTCCAAAGAGAGAGTGAAGATGGGGGTGGGGACAAGAGGTGAATATAAGAGAAGAGGTACCGAATTTGGAGAAACATTTGTATTTTAAAGAAAGGACAATGGGAAATATCAGTTAAAGATGCAGAAAAATAGGAAAACTAGGATTCTAAAATGTAATGGAAGATGAGCAAAGAGATTTTTACAAAGGAAAGGAAAGAAAAGAGTGGCAAATGCTCCTGAAAGTAAAGGAGATCAACACTGTGAAATGGCAATGGATTACAGGTTTAGGGGACCAGCGATGCCACAAGTGAAAGTAGTTTAAGTGAAGTGGCACAAAACGAAAAGTGAATTCCAAAGAGTCAAGGAGCAAGGGGTATAGAAGTGGAGAACAAACTTCAATTTTGAGTTTTTTGAATTTTAAAAGGAAAAAAAATTGTAAGAATCAAAGTAGATAAAACAACCAACAATTAGGAAGGACTTCATAAACTTCATTGCAACCAGAAAGGACTGGCAACCAATTACATGAACTGTAGCTGGAAGAAACTGTGGCTAAAGGCCACACACAATATAAATATATCCTACCAACAGACAATTCTGGGAACAACTTCCAAAGAGTCTGTACCACAAGGACTCCATACAGCACTGATTCAATTGTACCCCTAATTCCAAGAATGTATATCCCTGGCTAAAAGAGGTCTTATGGGATGGAAAAAGAGCCCAGAGAAAGATGTGAGTATAAACAAGAACTATCCTTGGAAAAGACAGATTCGTCCTCCTAATTTCTCACACCAATAAAATAGATAATAATATAGAGAAGCATATACATGATAAAAATGAGCATATATATGCATATTTTTGGTGGAGATATATATATATATATATATATATATATATATATATCCACCAAAAGTCTCAATTAAACGGTTTATGGTAGCTCTATTCATAACCAAAAACCAAAATGTCCATCAAAAAAAGAATAGATACATTATAATATATTCATACAATGGATTATCACATTAAAAAAAAACTACCACTACATATAACATAGAAAAATATCACTGATATTGTTTAGAAAAAGAAATAGGGAAACAGAAAAATACTTACCATATGAGTCTATGTATATGAAGTTTATGAACTAGCAAAACTAATCTCTGGTAATAGAAGTCATAACAGTGGTTACCTCAGGAGAGGGTTCTGAGGGGCATGTAATTAGAAGGGACAAAGAATGGGTTTCTGGGCTTCAGAAAATGTTCTATGTCTAGATAGGGATGCTGGATACAGAGTGTGTGTAAAACTCCACTGGGCTTTATATACGTTATGCCTCAATTTACCAAGAAGGAAGAGAAGGAGGAAAAGAGGCAGGGAAAAAAGGAGGAAGATAGAAGAAAAGGGAAGAAGGAAAGAAAGTAGGGAGGGAGGGACAACAAAAAAGAAAGGAGAAAGGCAGGCAGGCAGGTGGGCAGGCAGGCAGACTGGCCAGAGTGGATTCTGCAGACTGGCCAGAGTGGATTCTGTTGCTGGCAATAAGAAGCCCTGATTAAAACAAAAGTAAGAAATAAATAACAGTCTAATTGTATGATTAGATGTCAAGAATGTACAGTGGGCTTAAATCTGTACTTTCTCCAGCAATGACCATCAACTCTGAGGTAACATTAGAGGAAGAGGACTGACACTGAGTGCTGACAGCTTGCATTATAATGAGCACACTTCTCATGTGCCTTCTCATTTAAACCATACAATCACTCTGAAGAACGTATTACTATGTACATGTGTTAGAGTAAGTGACAGGTCCAGAAACATTAAATCATTTATCTAAGAGCAAAGAGCTAATTAATAGTAGAGTTGAAATTTGATTCAAGTCAACCTGACATCACCGACCATGTGTGTTCTATGATACTCTGCCTGGAGAAGTAGTAAGCATCAGCTTGGAGACTAGAAAAACAGAAATCATGGAAGGCCAAAGAGCCATAGTAGTCTAGGGAAAACTCTCTCCTCGATCCAGTTCTGATAGAAGTGATAACACCATCAGGAGACAAATTGGAAAATAAAATTATGTTAAATGACCAAAGACCATATGAGGAACAAATGCAGTATGAAAGGAAGTTAAAGCTTGGAGTCTTGGAGCTGGAAGACTCAAGAATAATGAGAATACTCATGTGGTGGGCAACAGTTGAATATATGAACACTCAAAATATATTTTGTAAGCTTTTATCATTTCCAGATGATGGAAATACAGCACAGACCTACCCTTAGTCACAGCTTGTTGGTGATAAATCAAGAGGAATATGGTGGAAATTGCTGAGTATCTTATAGCTCTATGGCAATAAGGAGCAGTACTGGTTCAGTGAACCAGAGGGTCACATGTAAGAAAATAATGTGAAATGTTAAGAACAACTTGCTAATGACATGGACAAGTAGGTCAGTCTTTCAAATTCGATTCCTTTACATTTTAATATATAAAACCATATACCTATTTTATGTATGTTTTTTATTGTGTTTTGCTTTTAATTCTTCCATAATTTGTCCCTACTAAAAATGCAGTATTTGGGAAATGCTTGGTAATTGTTCTGGTTTGGCAAATACTGACCATTTTATTCTTTTAAGTTTTATTACTAGAAATAGAGACGTGGCTAAAATTCTATAAGCTGAAAATTAATTATTCTGAATTTTCTTTTCTCAATTTCTTCCTAATTTTCTCTTTTCCTACTATTTTCTTTTTATATGCACATAAATATGAGGGGAAAAAAAACAAAAGGAAAATGAGAAATTCCTTTGCAATGAAGGTAGTATTAACAGTATCAGGAAAGGGACTTGCTGACTTCCCACTATGGTTGCTGAGTCTTAATTTCAGGTTTAAGTCCTTCCTAAATTGGAATCAATATATTACATGTTCATACCATAATTGTTTTCATGTTAGGTCTGTGTATCAAAGTAATAGCTAAAGTGCCAATAAACAGAACTCTCATACACTGCTCTAGTGGAGAAGTGGATTGGCACTTCCCAGCCTCATATAATTGATACCCCCAGAAGGTATGATGATGTCAAGCCTGTGGGTAAGGAAGAGGCCACTGCACTGAATTTGCACACATCAGAAAAGCAAATCATCTGATGAGAACTCATCAAAATTCCTGCAGTAATATTGCTGTCTTTTCTTGTATTTGAAATAAATGTTCTTCTCTAACACATACATTGGTATCTTCCATGAACCAAAAGTTTCACTCCATACCTTAACTTTATGTTCACATACTTATTAATTTTTAGATTTGTTTCCATAATCATTACAGTAAGATTTTCATTTTTATTTTCCTAGATTGCCTTCCAGAAAGAAACAGAAAAGATAATGATTAAGGAATCAAGAAAAATGTGTTTTGTTTATGCTTCTGTCTTTTAAGCAAAGCACAGAGAAACGCCCATATAAGTGGAGCACACATAATTAACTGGGACCTCCATGACTTTGTAAGTGGAGATCTTGGAGAATGACTCACATTTTCAGGCAGAGAACTCTTGCTAGAATTCCAGTCTAACATTTTGAAGGCATCATCAACTGGAAGCATCCAGAGATACAGAAATTACTAGAGTGCCACATTGTGGTGAGTTCAAGAACAAACGTTAAAAAGCCTCTTTTTTACTACAAATAAGCAAATGAAAAAGGAGCCCCATCTATCAACTGGGTCTTTGACACTTAACATTTCTTTGTGGATGTAAATTAAAGTGAATCAGATATGTTGGTCTTTTCTCAAATGCTCAAGTATTATTTTTTTTAAACTATGGTACGAATGAAATCATCAAATATTATTAGATACCTAGAAACCCATACAGGCTGCAGTGATGGCAGAGAATGGAGATGAGAGAAAACTTTTAGACAGCTGTTTGACTTTTGATATAATTGACTAGCAAATTACTCCAGTTAGTCATTTCAGTCATATAAAATTCTATGTCAAGTTTTCCCCACCCTTGAACACTTATGAAAAGCTTTACAAATCTACCTTTCCTGATCCAGATCTTAGCTTGTGACAGAAAGAAAAACCCAGGGAAATAACTGAATTGTCCACCCTTGGGTTGGTATTTATACAAATCTCCTGAGGCCACATGGGGTCACTCCTAGTGCCTGGATTAATTCTGAGCTTGAACTCAGTTTGTTTCCAGGGGTGTGGAAAGAGAACATGGAGAAGTGCTGGGAGTCCCCAGGGGTCACAATAAAAAGAGCAATGCTGGTTGTGCTAGTCCAAACTAGCTCAGCTGTGGAGGTTCTGTGCGAAGGACATACCCCTTTAACTGCCTAAATCCACGACTTCTCAATCCCCTTCTGCACCCAGCGCTATGGGAGGAGTGTAAGGGACATTGCAGGAACCAAGGGGAGAGACCAAATTGGTGAAATTCATATTAGAACTTCAGATCTTTCAGAAAGGCATTTTTAGCTTGGTTAAGTTTCTGGAATATTTTAACATTAGCACATATTCAGATTTCTTGAGGTCATAAACTTTGTCGCCTTCATTCTGTATCCTCAGTCGTCCACATAGGGTCTAATATTAAGTTGGTGCTCCTGTTGGTAGAACAATTATTAAAGGCATTTTGGCAAATCCCTAAATATGATATTCTGCCCAATACCACAGTCTCATTTCTTTTACAAAGTAAGATATTAATGCATATAATATTTTAGCAAAAAGTAATACGGTTTTGATAGACTCAAAAACTTCATAGAAAGACTTCTATTTGACCATTTTCACCTATAAAAATGCCCCCAAAATGTGATTCAACTTCACAACTTAATTTGGTTTCATAGCATTTATATATTTTCCAAGCATACTCGTGTATAATGCCTACTTACGATGAGGTAGATTAAGACCAGGAGCATGTCCATTTTACGGATCAAGACCAGAGAAGTTACATGTCTTCCCAAGGTTTCCTAACATTGTGGACAGGACTAGGGTTAAAACCAGCTCTCTTGCATCAGTTAGCTTATTCCATCATCCTTGCCAATAGTCCCAGAAATCAAATAAAAGTATTTTATTTTTCCCCTCTTTTTCATATATGATGTTCCCCTAACAGTCATTAGAGTCTGTGTATCCACCAACTTTACCTGTCACTTTAAGAGCTAATGGACCAAATTGCAGTTTGAACACTGAAAATACTTATTTTAATGCAGAGCAACAGGGAATGAAGCATTTAAGCCAAATCCTTATTCAAGACATTTAATAGAACAAAAGTCCCACATTCCAACAAATCTTACAATCCCCTTTACTAAAAGTTGGAATCATTTTTAAAGAGGTTACCAAGACACTCGTTTTGTTATTATCCATTCACACACTTCCTAGGATTCAAATATTACATTATAAAAAATTTCCATACCTATCCTCTGGGAAATTTTCAACTGCCCAATTTTATTTCTTGCCCATAGGCAACTGGAATTAATTTACATAAAATAGTCCTCCAAGCCATAAACCATTTAAGCATTTTTTTCCAGAAGTAATCTTGCTATTACTGTTTTCTATAAAATATATAGTTTTTCACATGGAACAATTAATCTCAATGATATGGGGTCTTTTCAGAAAGAAATTTAGTTCTTAAAAAAGGATAGAAATTATTTTATCCTAAATCTGATTAAAGCTCATGGAAGTCTGATATACTAAAAATAAAAATCTAAATAAAATCTTTTAGGATCAAAACTAAGATCAATATAAAAGTAACATTTTGTCACATTTTATTTAAATTATAAGCTATTTTTACTTCCTAAAGATTTAAATTAGTGATTTTAATACTTGAATTAATTTCCCCTAAATCTTGATTTAGGATTTTAAGCTATGACTAAATATTGTCAAATTCTAACCTTACTAAAGTTTTCAAAATTGACTTGTTCTATTAATACTAGAAATCAAGCTTTTATATTCTGTTTTTGAAGCAAACTTGAAATAGACACAGTATTTCCTAAAAATGTCCTAAAACTCATTTATAGTTTTTCCTCAAAGTCTGATAGTATACTGTGTCTTCTGTGATGCCTACACTTGCCAGGTAATACATATCTAGAGAACAATTCTTCTACAGGCATCTCTTCTTGAATAGTAGATGGTATCATGGGGCCGTGGGTGGAAGAGAAAACAGAGGGAAAAACAAGAACATTCTCAGCCACATGCTGACTTGATTCAGTGGACATACTTTAATAAAAGATTTGGTTCAGAACATGCACTTGAAAGAGATTTCAACTCTGAAGGAAAAGCAGCATATAAGTGCCACAGTTTTTCCTCTTTTGCAAAAAAGGTGAGACTTCAGAGTGGTTGCCATGTAGACAAGTGGGCAGCCAAGCAACAAGGCACTTCTGTGTGTACTGTGACAATACTCTAAATTCTACCATCATCTTGGGATCTGCACTGTTGCTACAAAAGTGACTATTTCCTTATTTTGTTCTGTTTTGTTTAAAGCAGTATTCCAGTTAACATGCACTGCACAGTTCACTTAGTCTGTTCCACACTGAAATCTTGCTGCTTATGCACCTCTGGGAGTGGAGCCATTTACATATAGTCTATATAGCATCACCAAATTTGCAAGATTACCCCCAGATGGTAACTATGTACACATGGAAAATAATTTTTGACTGTCGACCAGTTTCCCACCCACTCCTTTGGAATGTATGACACTGGCAGTTAACATGACATCCTGGGAGGGAGAAAAGGGTGCTAAATTTCTTATCCATCTCTCTCCTATTCTTGTCAGGGTCTCCTTGCCCTCAGACAAGCTAATCCCATCTCTAACTCCTTTAATCAGACGTATACTGCCTCCTAAGTGTAGGATACCTTATAATAACTAATGATATGTGAGTGCATGTGTGTGTGTGTGTGTGTGTGTGTTTCATTCATTTACAAATATTTACTGCGTATCCATTATAAGTATGCTGGACACATTCTAAGCAATGCAGACACAAAAATAAAAAAGAAAGACTAGATCCCTGCTCCCATAGAGCATATATTCTAGCAGAAGAAGACAAAGAATAAGAGGAAAATAAGCAAGATAATTTTAAAGGCTGTAATTAAGCCATTTAATTCACAATGACTTATGATTTCTTGGCAATCATTTTACATACTAAGAAAAAAATCAAACCTATACATTTTTTCATATATGATTAAATTTTTGTGAATATTAAATTTAAAAATTAATAAGGCTGACATGATGCACTGTGCGGACACTTAAACATTGGGGTTTTTTATTTTGCAATTTAGTTGCTTTTTCTAGTCAAACATTTTTGTAGGCTCTTAAGAAGAGCCATAGCACGGTGTTCATAGAGCCCAGTGAATAAGTGGACTCTCCTTGCAGGCTATGTAAAGATCTATGTTTCATGCTGAGCTTTGTCATGTATCAGAAAATCTTAATCATCTTTCTATCTCAGGGGTTCATCAGAAATTATAAGGTGGTTGGTGCTTAGTAAAATAAAGAGAAGTATATGTATGGAAAGCCTCTAGTGGGAATAGATCAACTACTGAAACTGAATTATAGCAATATATTAATACAATTATGTAATGACATTTGTTAAAGTGTTTTTTGTTTTTGTTTTGCTTACATTTTAATCAGTGTTGAAAGGTTAAATTGCAACATCCTGAACTGTTTCTTCAGCCAGGGAGGACAATTGATGATGTTGCACAGGAAATGTCATGGCTGTCATGGGACTACCAAAAGAGGAATCAATGTTCAGTTATACTTCCCACCAAAATTCAGAAAACAAAGAGGGTAGAGTCCCAGGAAGAAACATAGAAGATTTAAAAGCTCACAGGTTAGTTCAGAAAGATAACTCAGCTTGTTCTAGCATCAGACTTGTGAGTCACATACTAGCTGTTAGACTCTGGACAAGATACTCAACATCTCTGAGTCTCAGTATGCACATCTGTAAAATGAAGACAAATTATCATATTTAATTCATGGAGTGGACTCTATCTGCATTTTGCTGTCATCGTGTTTTTTTAAGATGTAAAATTTCTTGCATTCTAGGAGTTGTTTGTACAGAAAAAAAAAAAAAGAAAAAGATGTAAAATTTCTTAAAGTTGATATAAAGTATCAACTACTTTACCCCACCTCCTCCTCTCTTTCAGAAAAGTTCTTCCTGAGTTTCTTGAGCCTTGTTCGGTATTCAGTATTGCCCTGTCAAAATCAAATCTATTGAGGTTTCCTCATCATTTAAAACATCTACTTTTTTATGTTTCTTGGCTCAAAAACCAATTGTATTTCTCATATTTCCTTCACATGCGGGCTAATTGGTGGTGAGGCATCAGGAAAGGAGGAAGATTGTGGTTTATAATGTGTTCAACTCAGGCACTAAGTGATTTTAGCTTCATTTAGGGTCTTCTCTCCAGCTTTAAGCACTTTGTAAGACATGGCCATAAGTATTTTTTCTGTCGGAATTCCAGATAGCCATGTGGTTAAGAGCCATTGGATTTATTCCTTTACCTCATATAATTCCAGAAATTTTGGTAGTATCTTGGGGTAAAATAGGCGAGTGAAATGAATATCTCTGCTGTGAATGTTTTAAAGAAAGAAATTCTCAAAATCTTGTAACTAAAAGCAAATTGCATTGTTAAATATGGGCATCAGCTTTATTCCCCATTTTGATTCTTAACATTATTAGTCAACTTCCACATTAATGAGAGTTGACTATAGTTATTCTCAAATTAAAAGAAACCAACTCTTACCTGTCTACATGCATTACTAAGTGAAATGACAGACATAAGCACTCTACCCACTGTCTGGCCCAAAAACTCAGTAAATGTCAGCTGTTAGCACAGAGAGCAGCAGCACTGAGCAGAAAATAAAGTCTTTTGAGGGCTAAAGAACAAAGTAGGTAGTTGGCATTGTATAGAGTATACTATTTAGAAATTCTCATATCAAAATTTAGTATTTGGAGAAAAGTTTGAGAAATAATGTAGAGTCTGACAATTTTTTCATAACTAATAATTAGAATTGTGAAAAAGAAAGGAAGACAAACTTCCATATGTGCTACTTCATTTTAGAATAGCTTTGAATAAAACTTACGTTAGAAATTCAGAAATCGCTGAAGCTCGGGAAAGACAGAAAAAAAATTGAGTCTAATTTCTTTTACATTAATTCTTTATAGAGGAAACTGAAAATGGTTATCTAAACCATCGAGATGTCGGAACCCCCCTGGGTATATGTTATTAATAATTAACAGAATTATAACATGCATGTAGTGGTCATTCATTCTCAACTAATCCTTATAATATATTCTTAAAGTTTTGATTGAAAAATTCTTTCAGGTTATTAAAATTGATAGACATTTGACCTGGATAAAAACTTCTTGGCACCTGGGTGACTCTGTCATCAACCAGGCAGGTTTTTATCTGGCCCTACTGCAATTACTTTATACAGTCCTTCTACAATTGTCATGCTGTTTTATCTGTTCATTTTGCAGATGAGGAACTGACATCTAGTAAAAGATCAACATTGAACATTGGCTCAGTAGCAGAGCCATAATAGAACCCTGGACTCATGATGGCTTCAGAGGATTCTTCCCACCTTCCCTGATTAATTCCAAAATAGAACAGCAATCCTGAACAAGTCAGGGGTGGATTTGCCAAAGGACATGCCTGACTCCATGAATGTTAGTCAGGCTGGAACACAAACAACTTTAAAAAACAGACTGCAGAGCATCATAAATTGAACCTACCTGAAACTGGGCGTGTGCTTCCAGACAGGTCCAGGAGCCATCCAGACATTCATGTACTTTTTTTTTTTTTTTTGTATGTCAGCTGCTGCATGAGTATTTTGAGAAGCACTTTGAGAATTCACAGCAGGAACCTGGCTTTTGTGTTTCGAATGTGCCAGCTTTATTGCAGCTCAAACAGAAATAAAAGGGAAACAGCGTCATTACCCAGCAGGTTTTTCGGTATGGTTCCGGCCTGGTTCTCATTTTTCTAGTTCCAACATGCTTGCCTCCCCAGCCTTGTGAAAAGAATGCTAGCTTAGCAGAACCTGAACCCAATATGAAACGCGGTTGCAACATTTTCCTGCCATTTTTCCTGGGAAATGCTTTCATCAGAACATTTTGGTTTGTTGAGAACATGTGTACTTCTTCTTTTGAGAGAGAGAATATTCTTTTATTTGATGACCTCAAGAGCCTTTTTACCTTCAGCTGGAGGTGGGGAGGAGGGAAATGGAACTCCATTGGATAGGTAATTGTACCTCTCAGTCACACACTTTCTTGCTGAGCTACATAATGCTTCATGAGCTCTTAACTGAGACTTATCAAAGTGTTCCCAATTGTTAGTTGAAGGTCTGTAGCCAGCTTAGAAATTGTTGAAATGTACAAAATAAATGAGAAAAAAAACAGCAGGGAAAGAAATTCTAGGTCATGCTTTTAAAAGATGCTTGACAAAAAAAAAAGTTTTTTTAGAGGATAGGAACAATTTCAATGTTCAGTTTTCTATACCAACAATATTGTTAGAGACAATACATACATCTCTAGTGCAGATGAATCAGTGATTGAAGAGAGCTTAATTCCAGGTCCCACAATATGCAAATATATCAAATGGTATGGAATCCTGCCAAATACCAGTAATCCTGGATTGTATAGCTCTGTTAAATCTCCACATCACATTCTTCTTTGTAGTAAGTGCTTAGGGGGAAAAAAGGAATTTTGAGTTGAGGTAGGAGGCAGGAAATAAAGTGATGACACAGCAGGAGCACATTAAATTTTTAAGAGACTCTTAATTATCTAAAAGAAACTTGAGGGAAAATATTGCAGGGCCTATAGGAAATGATATACATGAGTGAGATGATGGTGCCAGGTCAGAATGTTTTGCTGTGCTAGTGCAGAGTCTTCATTCACATTGCATAGTACACACCATGGTTTTCCCACGAAGCAATGCAGTCTACAGTTTACCCAAACTAAAACATTCCTGTCACTCGGAATCTCTTCCCTCCAGCCCTTCTAGTTACTCAACTTTGATTAACTTCTAGTCACCTCTCCAATATCAGCTCAAACATCATGTCCTTGGAGAAGACTCCCCTGACTCGATCTTGATGGAGTTGTGTCTCTCTGGAATATACTCTCTTTCTAGCCCCAGGTAGCACATCACAGTGATTCGTATTGCTATAAGTATAGGAGTAATGGCTGCCTCCCATCATCTCCTAGAGCTCAGTACCGTGTCCAGCCTGATAGCAGATCCTAAAAAGATGTTGGTTAATAAATGAAAAATGTAGCAATGAATAAACAAGCAAATTAAAGGAATGGAATGGAAGCACTGGAGAGGATGCATTTCCTACTGGAGGGAGAGGAAGACGCCGACAATCCTGACTTTGTTTTCAGACACACAAAAAAACACCATACTATCTTAACTTTCACAATTTGTCCATAAAATTCAGTAAAATTATTTTATCTTTTCATTCCCTATAGAAATTCTAAGGCAGGCTGCCACATTTCTACCCATCTTAATATTTAGCACAGTGTTCGTCATTAAAACGCATCCATCCTATATCAAGAAATTTAAGCCATATCTAATACATGGGGATAGTTATTTTGTAATTGAGATTGATGGGTCCCTGAGAGGGAGATGTCAGAGAAAGGACATGGCTGAGGCAAACATAGGCCTCCAGGCTTTTTCTTGGACTGTCTCTGCCATGAGCAGCAATAACACAAGTCTTCATGCACTCAACACCCCAGTGACACACACAAGCCCTCTTCCTGGACCTGCATTAGCCCAGCTTTTTACTGTGCATTTTTTAAATGACCTCATTATTTAAGAGTAATGTCTGTAATTCCATGGTAATGAATTCATGCAAAAAATAATCATCTTCAAGGTCTTAAAGTTAGATACTAAAAACAGACTGCAAAATTGCCCTCCTTCTCTCTCCTTCACTTTACCTTTCACTCCAGCCTTCCCCACATTTTTTTTTAAATCCCATATCCTTATACCAAGTTAGAAGTCTGCTTCACTGCTTTGCCCACTAAGGAAAAGCTCGGGACCACATTCTTGACTATTCACAGAACCATTTCTTAATTCTTTCTACCCACACATCTCCCATCTCCCCAGCAACCCAGAGTTTAGCCATTCCCCAGATTAGCTGCCTGGAGAGAACTGCAATCAAAAGGAGACTGTAATGGCAATTGTGGGCAAAGGGTCCAGTATCATGGAACCCCAGTGATGCTAATAAAAGCAAACATGGCTCAACAGTTACAGTCTACACAATGATCTAGCTCTTGAAATGGAAAATACTAATACTGGAGTATCACTTGCAATGAAAGTCTGATTCAATGCTCATTTAAATGAACCACCCACTCACTCCTTCTCCTTTGGGCCCCTTTCCAAAATCTTTTCTATAATAAAGGACATAGTATCATAATTCTCAACTTCTTCAGACATATGTAGTCTTGCATTGTGAATAATCATACAATTTCCTTGTTTAATTTAAATTATTATGTGTTAGATTCCCTCCGGCTTCCTTTTCTCCTACAGACCCTGCACAGGCACACCTCAGAGATATTGCATGTTTGGGTCCAGACCACCGCAATAAAGAGAATATCACATTAAAGCAAGTCACACAAGTTTTTGGTTTCTCAGTGCACATAAAATTTGTGTTTACACTATACTGTAGCCTATTAAGTATACAATAGCATTATATCTAAAAAAAAAATGTAGTTACCCTAATTTAAAAATACTTTATAGCCAAAAAATGCTAACAATTATCTGAGTCTTCAGCTAGTGATAATCTTTTTGCTGGTGGAGGGTCTTGCCTATGTATTGATGGCTGCTGAGTGGTGGTGGTTGCTAAAGGCTGGGGTGGCTGTGACAATTTCTTAAAATAAGGCAACAGCAAAGTTTGCCACATTGATTGATTCTTCCTTTCATATGAGATTTCTCATCTATAGCCTGTAATGCTGTTTGGTAGCATTTTACCCACAGTAGAACTTTTTTCTAAATTAGAGTCAATCCTTGAAAACTCTGCCATTGCATTATCAAGTAAGTATATGTCATATTGTGAAACCTTTTTTATCATTTCAATAAGGTTCACAACATCTTCACCCAGAGTAGATTCCACCTCAAGAAGCCACTTTCTTTGCTCATCCATAAGAAGCAACTTCTCATCCATTAAAGTTTTATCATGGGACTGCAGCAATTCAATCACATCTTCAGGCTCCACTTACAATTCTATTTCTCTTGCTATTTCTACCAAGTCTGCAGTAACTTCCTCTACTGAAGTCTTAAACTCCTCAAAGTCATCCAGGAGAGCTGGAATCAACTCCTTCCATACACCTGTTAGTGTTCATATTTTGACCTCCTCCCATGAATTAAAAATGTTCTTAATTGCATCTAAAATGAATAAATTGAATGAGTGAATTCTTTCCAGAAGGTTTTCAGTTTATTTCCCCCAGATCTCTCAGAGGAATCACTATCTATGGCAGCTACAGTCTTATGAAGTGTATTTCTTAAATAATAAGCCTTGAAAGTTGAAATTACTCCCTGATCAATGGGCTGCAGAATGGATGTTGTGTTAGCAGGCGTGAAAACAACATTAATCTCCTTGTATATTTCCATTAGAGCTCTTGAGTGACCAGGTACACTGTCAATGAGCAGTAATATTTTGAAAGGAGTCTTTTTTCCTGAGCAGTAGGTCTCAACAAGGGGATTAAAATACTCACTAACCATACTGTAAATAGATGTGCTGTCATCCAGGCTTTGTTGTTTCATTTATAGATCACAGGCAAAGTAGATTTAACATAATTCTTAAGGGCTCTAGAATTTTTAGAATGGTAAATGAGCACTGGCTTCAACTTAAAGTTACCAAGTACATTAGACCCTAATAAGAGAATTGGTGTATCTTTTGAAGCTTTGAGGCCAAGCATTGACTTCTCTCTAGCTATATAAGTCCTAGATGGTATCTTCTTCCAACATAAGGCTGTTTTATCTACATTGAAAATCTATTGTTTAGTATAGTTCATTAATTATCTTAGCTAGATCTTCTGGATAACTTACTGCAGCTTCTCCATCAGCACTTGCTCCTTCACTTTGCACTTTTATGTTCTAGAGATGGTTTCTTTCCTTAAACCCCATGAACCAACCTCTGCTAGTGTCATTTTTTTTCTTCTGCAGCTTTCTTGTCTCTCTCAGCCTGCATAGAATTGGAGAGTATTAGGGCCTTGCTCTAGGTTAGATTTTGGCTTAAGAGAATGTTGTGACTGATTTGATCTTCTATCCACATCACTAAAATTTTCTCCATATCAGCTATAAGGCTATTTCAGTTTCATATCATTCATGTGTCCACTGGTGTAACACTTTTAATTTCCTTCAAGAAATTTTTCTTTGCATTCACAACTTATATAACTGGTATAGGAGGCCTAGCTTTCAGCCTGTCTCAGCTTTTGACATTCCTTCCTCACTAAGTTTAATCATTTCTAGTTTTTGTTAAAGTAAGAGACATGTGACTCTTCCTTTCACTTGAACACTTATAGGCCATTTTAGGGTTATTAATTGGCCTGATTTCAATATTGTTGTATCTCAGGGAATAGGGAGGCCCAAGGAGAAGAAGAGAGATGGGGAATGAACGGCCAGTCGAAGGAGTAGTCAGAAAACACAAAACATCTATCTATTAAGTTCACCATCTTTTATGGGCATGGTTCACGATACCCCAAAGCAACTATAATAGCAATATCAAAGATGACTGATCATAGAACACATAACAGTTATAATAATAATGAAAAAGTTTGAAATATTTCAAGAACTACCAAAATGTGACACAGAGACACGAAGTGAACATGTGCTGTTGAAAAAACAGCACCACAGACTTGCTCCATGCAGGGTTGCCACAAAACTTCCATTTGTAAAAAATGCAGTATAGATGCAAAACACAACAAAGT